GGCATCTCGTGGCTGGGAACACAGAGCATCCTTCCCACGTACGGTCACTAGGATACCTGAGAACCTCCCAGACCTTGATCACAGTGTGCTGAGAGCAGCTTCATGCTCCCCCCTCCGCCCCCCGCCACCTCCCCATATGTATATTCTAAAGACTACTAGCCAGCAACATAATTCGGATTTCTAACAAATTTGCTCCCTCCCGTAAGCATAATGTTGACCTTTCCAACCCTCCTGGCCCTTGCGACCCATAGGCCATTCTGTGAGTTGACAGGAGAGAGGGGCCTCCTTGGAATCCTGGGGCCGCTGTAGCCTGTGCCTCTCTCTACCCTGTGTCCTTGTTCCTTTAGCCAGCAGCACCCTAAACTGTTTTGGAAGGGAGGGTGGCTGTTTCCGTGCTGCCTCTGGTTACACCTGGCACCATCCAGGGGCTTTCGGTCTGAACGGTGCAAGCCTGGGGAGGCCCACGGCTAAGTTCCCCGACAGAGGGAAAGGCAAGCGCAAAGGCCCTGAGAGCAGCTACAGGGAGGGAAATAAAGCTTGGGGAGAGGATGGCCAGAGAATGAGCTGACCCGTGGGTGATGGGCAGGCCTGGGAACTGGCCATCTGGCTGCAGGAGCCGGGCTGGACCCGGAGCAGGTGGGAGGTTGTGGTTGTAGCCCCTTGTAGGCCTGACAGCCCTCCCAAGTGGGGAGGTGGGCCTGGGGCAGCCGGGGCCACAGGGTAGGCCTGGCCACCTCAGGATACTGAGAAACAAGCAAGTCCAACTGAAATAACAAATAGTATCAACACTTCAGTCATGACATATGCAATTTAATAACCTACCAGCATACTTACAAGCCATATATTTGTCTGGAAGTGGTGACCTCTTTGAGGCAGGTTTTGTTTGTTGTTAAGACACAGAACCTTGCCCCAGCCCGTCCGAGTTATGGAGGGACTGGCTTTTACGCAATTTGTTAGAGGAACTGGAGGTGGGTATGCGTGGGGAGGCCATTCAGGGCCCCTGTGGCCTTTTGGGGGACACCCTGCTGAGAGTGGTTGAGAACCGCTGAAATAAAACCTCTGGTGTCTGTCTTTCTTGCTAGATTGAGTGCCCTAAGAGGGGAGTTACTAGAGCGTGACACCCCATCCATCTTGCCTATCACCATGTCCCCAGTGCCTGCATAGCACTCAGCATTTAGTAGATTCGCAACACCTAGTGGTTGAGTGAATTGGTGAATCTGTGTTAATTTTCTTAATTAATGGATAAGTTCATTGATAAAAAATGCACACACACACACACACACACACACACACGTGTATGTATAAAATAGACTCCTGGTTTCTGTAGACTGGCTACCTGAGAATTAACTGAGGAGCCTTTCAAGATGTCACATTCCTGGGTCCCAATCACAGAAAGTTGGGGTGCAGCCTGATGGGGCATAGCCTAGGAGTCTGTTGTCAAGAGTACTTCATTGGTTTCTCAAAAAAGTAAACATAGGGGTACAGAATGAGTCGCCCCAAAAGGTGCCTCTGTGGTGTGTGTTTGTTTTGAGCTAAAGGCAATTGAAATGGGGCTCACAAGAAACTGCTACCTCTCCCTTTATGATCTATCTATAGGGAGGGCAAACTTCTAATTACTGCACATCTGCTCTTCTTATCCTGCAATGATCTTCCTCCCCTATGAAGCCCCAACATGCCTTATCTCATCCTTAGTTCAGAATGTTGTATACACCTCATGTTACCTGTCTGTCTCTGAACCTCTCATGTATGTGAGATTTTTGACTCTCCTCTATATGTGGGGTTCCCATACATATGTATTTAATTAAATTTGGTTATTTTCTTTTGTTGCTCTGTCTCGTGCAGATTTTCTTTAACTCTAAGTATTAGAATTAAAGAAAAACAAATGAACCTTGAATGGTAGAGGAAAATTTCTTCCTCCCCCACACCAGCAATTCCGCTCATAGGTATATACCCAAAAGAATTGAAAGCAGGGACTTACATCCATAGCAACACTATTCTCAATAGACAAAAGGTAGAAGCAACCCAAATGTCCGTCAATGGATGAATGGATAAACAAATTATGTCTCTACACACAACTGAATATTATTCAGCTTTAAAAACGGAATGAAATCTGACACACTACAACATAGACGAATCTTGAGGACATTATGCTAAGTGAAATAAACCAGTCACAGAAGGACACATTGTATGATTTCATTTATATGTGGTCCTTAGAGTAGTCAAATTCATAGAGGTAGAAAATAGAATGGTGGTTGCCAGGGACTGGGAGTGGAGGGAATGGTGAGTTGTTTGATGGGTATAGACTGCAGTTTACCTAAAAATGGTTAAGAGAATCAATTTTATGTGGTGTATATTTTACCACACACACAAAAAGTGCTTCATCCCAGCCAGTTCTGGGAATGACGAGGATGGGAATGGGAGAGTAGAAGGGATATGGATTGATGATGCTGATGGCCCTTTGAGGCTTTGCAGCCTGTGAGTGGCTGAGATGACAGCATTGGCTTTGCAGCCTTCGGGGGGGAGGTGGGAGAGTGGCTGCATATCCTGACCTCTGTCCCTCAGGAGGCTGGGCAGGCTCCTGAGTGGAGGCCACATGGCCTGTCCACTGGGGCAGCTGCTGCCCACCTCCAGCTGATTGGTTATGGGAGTGAAGTCCAAAATGGATTTGTATGCGAAATCTCCTAATGTTTAGATCTTGACTGTTGGGTCAGTGAACAGGCAAACAACCCACATGTGGGTCAAACAGAACAAGTCTGCAGCCTCGGGTCTGGGGTGGCATCTATTTCTTGGAACTCACAGTCTCGGGCCACAGCGAGAAAGATCCCGTTCCAGGTCCTCTTACAGGTGTTATGACACGTCTGACGTCTGACACCAGATTTCTCTTTGATCTCTGAGAATTACTCTTGCTTTCAGTGCACCTGGAGGGAGGGTGTCTAAAGGGTGAGGGTGAGTGCCTAGGGTCTGGATTCTGCTCAGCCTGGGGTCGTGGCTCTGCCATTAGTGAGTTGTGAGGCTGTAGGCTACTCGCTTCTTTCTCCCCCCATGCCTGTTTCCTTATCTGTCCCATGGGAATTAGTAATAGTTTCACCTCATAGAGTCAGAACGAGGACTCCAAGAGGGTGCAGGTACGCGGCCTGGCCCAGGGCAGGGCCGGTGGGATGGCTCTGCAGTGTGTGCATGCGTGTGCGCGTGCGTGACCTGGCTGAGCAAAGAGCCAGTGTGGCCTCGGACAGGCCATCAGCTGGTGAGTTATGCAACCTCGGACATCTGTTTCCTCATCTGTGATGTTGGCCCAGTGATTTTTTCCCCAAATAATCATTTTAATGAGGCTTAAACAAGATAATGTTTAATGTGCCTAGCCACAGCACATGCCCAATTCACATTTGTTCTGTCTTTTGGAGTCTGAGGACTTTGTCTTCTACGCAGACTTGAGACAAGGGCGCTGGGGCTGGTTGGCCAAGTTGAAGACCAGAAGAGCAGATTGTAGAGAAAGGGACTGGGGCCCTGTCCTTCCCCGTCAGTTCCCTCTCCTACTTCCCAGCCCATAGAGTGCAGGTCTTGGTCCTGTCCTCAGAAGCCCACCCACTTGCTGATGGGAGACATGCCTCAGCTTCCCAGGGCAGCGTGGATGAGTGAGGAATCCCATCCATTGAGACCAGCTCTGTGCCAGCCTGGAACGCACACTAGGAGCTGGGCCCAGAGCCAAGCTCCACTGGTGTCCTTGGGTTTGCTGGTTGGAGAGAGGGATCCTTGCCATGCCCAGAGCCATTCTGGAGGGTTAGAGACTGTACACTCACCCAGAGCTGGGAGCGGGCCCAGGGTGCCAAGATCCTGCCCAAGGACCCTACGTCTCTCTAACCAGGCCCCAGACCCTACAGGCGCTTGGTGTGTTGATCATATGGAGGAGGGTGAAAGGCCCTTAATATTCTGAGACACTGAAGGGCCTAAAGGCCTATGTGACCTTTGGCGAGTCACTGACAGGTGGTACCCAAGGCCACTCAGAGCGTGGGGCAGGTGACAGCATCTCAGTCCTTGGGGGGCTGGCCACAGGATGCAGAGTGCCTCCAGGTCCAAGGCCCAAACACTGGTGAGTTCAGGGACACCTGGGCCAGAGCCAGCGCCCCGTCGCTGCTTGCATACCTGAGTGTTCTGACATCTGTCCACCGTCGCCCGGATAAGGAGTGATGGGGTTGATGGGAACACGCTATGTGTGCAGCTGACTCAGTTCTACATGGTCACTGCATATTTGCATTATGTGTGCATGTTCATGACGTGTGTCTTCATTGTGTGTTCATTGTGTGTTCATTATGTGCCTATTATTGAGTATGTTCATGATGGGTGTGCTCATTGTATGCATGTCCATTGTGTGCATGTCCCTAGCGTGTGCATGTTTATCACGTGTGCACACTGCAGAGGACATGAGGTGTGCTGGGGCCCTTCAGGAGTCCTTCCAGCCTTGAGAAACGTCTTCTGAGACCCTGGGGTTTGTGAGGATAAAGAAGGGGGTACCCAAGACAAGTGGAAATTAAAGTTCTTGTCCCCAACCTCTGACCTCCATATGGGGAAGGTGAATCCACACGAAATGAGGACAAAATGAGGCCATGAGGGGATCATTTCCACAAGGATTTCCTGAGCCTACAGGGAAGGTTATGGTCTAGTCTGGGCCAGATGCCAGGCACCTAGTGGGGTGGACAGCAGTGGCAGATGCTGAGGAAGATCAGGGCGCCTGGTGGGGGCACCTGCATGGGTGACTGGAGGGGCTCCCCTGCTGCTGGTCAGGGGAGCTCAGGCCAGAGCTCACTGGGAGTACACACTGGATTGAGACCAGTGGGCCAGTGGGGGATGGAGTGCTTGGGGTGTGTCACCGACTGGACCTCGAGCTCCCTCCCCCCAGCTGTCTGCTAGTTGGGTGCTGGGGACAGGCTCCCTGGGATGGGACACAGGCTTTGGAGCCTTGGACAAGACCAATATCAACTGACATCTGTCCTCCATCTCTACAGGGGGCGGAGGAAAGCGCAAAGGGAAAAGCAAGAAGTGGAAGGAAATCCTGAAGTTCCCTCACATTAGCCAGTGTGAAGACCTCCGGAGGACCATAGGTGAGCGTCCGGCCTCGAGGGGGCTTGGGGAGGGGCTGGGGGCACAAGGGGCTGTTAACCCCCACACAGCGAGTCCAACACAAATCACTATCGCCATGATTCCAGCAGGGCTCCAGGCCGATGTCCTTGCAACAACGTCTATTGAGTATTTTGTGTGTGCTAGGCAGAATTGTCTGTTACCCTTTGAGGCGGGGTCTGTTATTTTACTCCCCCTTTCGGATGGGAACACCGAGGCGCAGAGGGTTCTGTAACTGGATGGAAGTGACACAGCTTGTGGGAGGGTGGTGGAGGGGACCAGGCCCAGTACTGAGCCCCAACTCGTAACTTTCCCCCTTCCTTTGGGGCCCATGGGTCGTGCCCTTGGGAAACGGCCCCAGGCTTTGAGAGCCAAGAGTGAGGTGAGCATCTGCGCCCCCCTCTCCTCTGGCGGGGGAGGTCAGTGCTCAGCGAGGGCCACCCTGCTCCGTGGCACAGCTTCCACCTGGCCAGGTACCTCCAACAGCCACTGATGTCCCTCTCCTTCTGGTCCACCTGGCCCTGCCCTCATCACTTCCGCTTCGGGGGACCCCTGGGAGCATAGGATTCACCTCAGCTTTTCTCTGCCCATGGGCCCCACCCCAGGGGTCCTTCCAGGCCCATGGCATCCTCTTGGCAGGGCCCACCCCCCTGGGAAGGTGTGAGACACGTGTGTGCTGGCGTGGGGACGTGAATTCTCTGTTCTCCCGGAGGACGTTGAAAGGACTCTGTGTGCGAGCGCAGTGCGAGGAGAGCGGGGAAACGCCGCCGCAAACCGGACTAAGCCGTGGCCCGGCCCCAGCACGGGGCCTTCTGCCTGTTTACAGTCCGTCGCCCTGGTGTTTGCCCAGCCTCTGCTGGGGGCCTGCTGGAGGCTCTCTTCAATAAAAACCTCATTGCTCCTCCAGACCAAGACACAAGCCAAACAGTGGCACAAGCCGCATTTATTTTCCTTGTGGAGTCGTGAGCTCACTTTCTGAAGCTCCTTGGGAGGATGTCCCAGGACAGGCTCGGGCCGAGGTGAAAGGGCGTCTTGGGCCCGGAGGACAGCGTGGAGCGGGGCGGTGGGAAGGCTCTTGATCAGAGGGAAGGGCAGAGTCCACGGAGACCCAGGGACCCGGACGCTGCCCCCTCTGGATTGCCCAGAACAGTGGCCCGTGAGGCCATGCCCCCCTTGCCTCTGCACTGCCCTGCCCTGCGCAGCCACAGGCCACTCCTCCTAGCAGCCAGGGTGACTCTGGAAAATGAAAACTGAATCCCCTGCTGAAACCTCTGTAGAGTTCTCCATCCCACCCAGAATAAAACCCAAACCCCCGACTGTGGCTTAGAAGCACTCTGGCCATTGGGTGAAGCCTGGAAACCCCTTCTCAGAATAATGCTCTTATATGTGTAAAATAAAATGCATGAGGTTGTTAGATATAGTTATTAGATACTTTAAAATATTTTTATTGATTTTAGAGAGGAAGGGAGAGGGAGAAAGAGATAGAAACATCACTGATGAGAATCATTGATCAGCTGCCTCCTGCACGCCCCCTACTGGGGATCGAGCCTGCAACCCGGGCACGTGCCCTGACTGGGAATCGAACCGTGACCTCCTGGTTCATATGTTGATGCTCAACCACTGAGCCACACCAGCCAGGCAGTTATTAGATACTTTTAAATTTTATGATATTGAAGTATATGTGTTTCTTTGTTAATACTTTAAATAGTAAGGTCCACTAGCTACTGTGATATTGAATTTGCGAAGAGCGTGATACTTCCAGATATCTGTAACAACGGTGTTAGGAACGGATCTGTGGTTTCTTTTTTTTTTCTTCTTTTTTTTTTTTAATTAAATCTTTATTGTTCAGATTATTACATTTGTTCCTCTTCCCCCCCCCCCATAACTCCCCTCCTCCCAGTTCCCGCCCCACCCTCCGCCCTCACTCCCCACCCACTGTCCTCATCCATAGGTGCACAATTTTCATCCAGTCTCTTCCCGCATCTCCCACACCCCTTTCCCCCCCAAGAATAGTCAGTCCATTCCCTTTCTATGTCCCTGATTCTATTATAATCACCAGTTCATTCTGTTCATCAGATTATTTATTCACTTGATTCTTAGATTCACTTGTTGATAGATGCATATTTGTTGTTCATAATTTGTATCTTTACCTTTTTCTTCCTCTTCCTCTTCTTAAAGGATACCTTTCAGCATTTCATATAATCCTGGTTTGGTGGTGATGAACTCCTTTAGCTTTTCCTTATCTGTGAAGCTCTTTATCTGACCTTCAATTCTGAATGATAGCTTTGCTGGATAAAGTAATCTTGGTTGTAGGTTCTTGGTATTCATCACTTTGAATATTTCTTGCCACTCCCTTCTGGCCTGCAAAGTTTCTGTTGAGAAATCAGCTGACAGTCGTATGGGTATTCCCTTGTAGGTAACTGAGTTTCTTTCTCTTGCTGTTTTTAAGATTCTCTCTTTGTCTTTTGCTCTTGGCATTTTAATTATGATGTGTCTTGGTGTGGTCCTCTTTGGATTCCTTTTGTTTGGGGTTCTCCGCGCTTCTTGGACCTGTAAGTCCATTTCTTGCACCAGGTGGGGGAAGTTTTCTGTCATTATTTCTTCAAATAGGTTTTCAATATCTTGCTCTCTCTCATCTTCTGGCACCCCTATAATTCTGATGTTGGTACGCTTGAAGCTGTCCCAGAGGCTCCTTACACTATCCTCGCATTTTTGGATTCTTTTTTCATCTTGCTTTTCCGGTTGGGTGTTTTTTGCTTCCTCGCATTTCAAATCATTGACTTGATTCTTGCGCTCCTCTGGTCTGCTGTCGGCAGTCTGTATAATATTCGTTATTTCAGTCCGTGTATGCTTAATTTCTAGTTGGTTCCCCAATATAACATCGAGGGTCTCATTAGTTTTCTTGTAGATCTCATTAAGTTTATCGGCGGCTTCTAAACAGTTCTTGAGAGACCTTAAAAGTGTGGTTCTGAACTCTATATCTTCCATTGACAATTTTGTCCTGTTTCTTTGTCTCCGCATTTTGTTATGCTTCCTTGGTGCACCCCCTAGTGGTCTTTGTGCGCAGTCTTGTAGTTAAGCCTTGATTGTTGTAGCTAATACCAGGGAGGGTTTGACCTCCAGGCCAAGTAGCTATGAGAATCAGCTGTGTCTGCAGTGAGAGAACTTCTGTCCTCTAGGGAGGTGCTAATCTGGCGTTTGCCTGAGGCTATCAGGCAAATGCCTTTGTGCAGGGCTTGGGCAGGGCGGGTCGCACAGGATCAACAGGGTGGGCCAGAGAGAGCAGTTATGGCGGCTCTTAGTCCTGTCCCTAGGGGCTCTGCCTCTCTGAGTCCCAGCACCCGCTGCAAAACTCAAGCCAGACAGTCCCGCTTCTCCCGTTTGAGTCTGGGTCCCTAAAGACTCGCCCGGATCTGGAGCTCAGAGTCTGCGGCTCCCTCCCGATTGAAAACGCCAACCGCGCCCTCCGCCGCCAGCCCGCTCCACGCACTCCGCACCTCAGAATTTGACTTCAGCACTGCGCCTCCTCTGCGTGTCCGTATGCGTTTCTCTTTCCTCCTAGTTGTAGGACTTCCACTCAGCCAGCGTTCCTGTGGTTCTGGGTGATGTCCGGTCCGTTTTTTGGTTTCACTTTTGAAGTAGTTGTTCAAGGCAGCAAACTCCGGCGTTAACCTATGCCGCCATCTTGGTTCTGGATCTGTGGTTTCTATTGCTGACGAGTCCCTGGCACTGCTAACATGATGGTGGGTTGTCGACATTTGTGACCGAGGGAAGTGCTCATTTTCAGTCAGAGTTGGTGACAAGAAAGATGACATGTGTCTCCATCCAAGTCCCTGGGTCCCCTAAGTCTTGTTCATGGACCTCTTGGCAATGCCCTTCCTCCCCTGGCCCTCGCCTATGTCTTGGATCGATGACTCCCTCCTCCCCAGTCGCTAGCTGCACGGGTCGCCTTTTCGTTCTTCGGTTCTTCGAATACCCCAAGCTTGTCTCCAGCCTGCAGCCTTTGGAACGGCTGTGCCCGCCACCTGGAATGCTCTTCCCCACAAATTCTCCAGGGGCCTTTAGGGCTCAGCTCAGATGTCACTTTCCTAGCCAGCCGCCAGAAAGGAGGCAGACTCTCCCTGCCTTTGCTGCCGTTCACACGGTGCTGTTTATTAATGTTCTCTGCCGTAACTCCATCTGAAGTCACCTTTTGAGTCGTTGATCTGTGTATTTTCTGTCTCCCCACCGGACTGGATGTCCCATAACAAGAGTGACTGTGTCTTGTCTAGAACAGTGCCTGGCACATAATAGAAGTTCACTAAATGTTGGGTGCTTGAAGGAATCAATGAGATAAAGTATTAGAAATACGGTTTTTAAAACAAAATTGTGACATGTGCTTGCTTTGCCTAAATTTAATTTTAGCCAGTGGTTTAAACCTTAAGTCATAAAAGTTTAGACGTAGGAGGAACCTTAGAAAGCATCTACTTGAATACTCCCCCCCCCCCCCCCCCCAATTCTTACCTGATAGATGAGCAAACTTCGCACAATCACATGGCTGGGCTACAGTAGTCTCTCATCCACTAAGTGGGGAAGGGGAAGGCACGGTGGCTCCTGGCCCAGGCCAGTTCCCCTAAGGCTGCAGTTTGGCTCATTCTCACGGTGATGTTAGGTTTCCATAGAATCCTCCACTCCAGGAACTGGAGAGCATCCTGTCCAGCCCATTTCAGACCTGAGTAAAGAGGCTCCAAGAGGCCCCTGGTCCTGAGTTGCAGCTTTCACTCCCCAGCATCATACTGACTCCTTTTGGGCACCAGCTCCCACCAGTAATCAAAGCAGAGACTTATTAGGCACTCAAAGCGACAGACGTTTCTGTCTGATTCTCTGTTTATTTTATCTTATAAAAGTGGGTTGTAGGTGCACTTGTTTATTCAATAAGTGTTCACTGAGCAATTATTATGTGCCCCTGGAGCTCATGCATGGCTTTGCCCAGGAGACGGAGAGA